TCCCTGCAGGTGGCTCCTGCACCTGCACCAGCTCCTGCAAATGCAAAGAGTGCACCTGCACCTCCTACAGGAAGAGTGAGTTCGGGGCCTTCCCTGAGAATCTGGGGGCTGAGCAGAGTCAGAGGAGGGAACCCAGAGCTTAGTGGGCAGGAGCGGGACAGTGACCAGCTTTCCACATCTCCTTTCCTGGCAACTGATTCAGGATCACAGCTGGAAAAACAAGATGGTTGATTCCCAACTTTCATTCTTAAAATAGGGAAACTGAGGCCACACGAATGCACCAGCCTGCCAAGCACAGACCTGATACTTCAGGACTTTTCTCACTTAAGCCAATGGTTTTGGGGAACTGGTTTTCCTTTGTCCCTGTCGCCCCAGCCACTGCCTCTCCAGTCTTCTGTCCTCTCCTGGGTATACGTTGTACTGGGCAGCTTTTCACTGGAAGACCCTCACTGCAAAGATCCAGCTGACTCCTGACAGAGCAATGCCACTGTGGACTAAGGGTCCTCTGGAGCTAGAGGTAGGGCTTGAGCCAAGCCTCTGTTGGGGCAGAGAGGTCTCCAGTCAAGTCTGCTTTGACCTCTCACTCTCCCCTTCTTCCCCAGGCTGCTGCTCCTGCTGTCCTATGGGCTGTGCCAACTGTGCCCAGGGCTGCATCTGCAGAGAGACATCAGACAAGTGCAGCTGCTGTGCCTCATGTCAGGACAGCCCTGCTCTCAGATGTAGAAAGAGTGACCTAAACAAATTTGGAATTTTTTCCCATACAACCATGGCCTTACTATATTTGTCTCTCTTTTATAAAATATGTGAATGATAATAAAAGTTGTTGCCTTTATTCTGGCTCTGGTTTTCTTTGTGTGCCTTGGAAATAGTTTCCCAGGTTGGGTAGCACTCTCACTCACCACCTCCCTTGGCTCGGGGGTGGAAGCTCCCTGTCCTGTGTGGCTCTCAGCTGAGCCACTGCACTGACCCTGCTGACACCTTGGTCTTGAACTTCCAGCCTCCAGAACTGTGAGAACACATTTCTGTTGTTTATGCCCCCAGTCAGTGGTACTTTGATATGGCACACTAGAAAGCTAATAGAGACAGCTGGCATAATAAACTTAAAACTCAGATTTTACATGCAGCTTTAAATATACCCGCTCCTTCTTACATAAAACTGCAGTAAGATTTCTTATTAAAACTGTTTCAACTGTGTTGTCTACTAAGGTAATTTGCTAGTTTGATTTTATAAGGTTAAGTATTCTCAAATCAAACGTAAAACTAACCATCAAAATGCCATATCACACATTTCTGACACCAATACATTGTTTTAAGTTATATACTAAGGGGGTCAGGAACCTTTAAAACTAACCCACCAGGCTGGGCGCGGTGGCTCACACCTATAATCCCAGCACTTTGGGAGGCCGAGGCGGGTCACGAGGTCAGGAGATTGAGATCATCTGGTCAACACGGCGAAACCCCACCTCTACTAAAATACAAAAAATTAACCAGGCTTTGTGGCATGCACCTGTAGTCCCAGCTACTCAGGAGGTTGAAGCAGGGGAAATCACTTGAACTCAGGAGATGGAGGTTGCAGTGAGCCAAGATCGCGCCATTGCACTCGAGCCTGGTGACAGGGTGAGACTCCATCTCAAATAAAATAAATAAATAAATAAATAAATAAAACTAACCTACCATAAAATGGCATTTCTGTCATTTAATATTTATGGCCTGTAACAGAAACTTCCAAGTTAGTTCAGACATACTTTTACTAGGCTTAAAAACAGGCATTAAAAAATGCCACTTAATCTATTTTTAACAAACAAATGAATTTTAAAACTTTCACTATAAATGAATATGAAGGCTTTGCAAAGCTGACACAGGCACTTTATAAGAAATAGGTAACTACACAAAAATATGAAATAACTGAACAACCTGCCAAGGTGCCCTTTATCTTGCAGCAATGTGTGGAGTAGATCAAGCATCATGGCATGAAGGAGGTGGGCATCTACTGTGGGTCTGGAGTGGCCACAGACATCCAGGTGCTGAAGGCAGCCGGATCGGGTCGTGATGGAGGTGTGGGCATCAATGTCCACAATGTGATCTCACAGAGCTCCATGGCTGGGTCACATCACATTCTTCACTGTGCCTTTTCTTCATTTACTGTTTTATTATTTTTTAAAAAGAGAAGACAAGAGTTGTAGAAGGAGCTTCTGTAGAAGCCAGTTCTTGAACCATCCTACCCACTCATACCACTTGCTGGGTGGACCCGGGGCTGCCGGGGGGCCTTGGCCTTCCTGCCTTGAGGGTGGACATGAGGTGCGGAAGCCTGGGACTCAGTGTGTTCTGTCCACTGCCCTGTGTGAGGATGTGGTGGGCAGAGGGCACTGATGGGACCCAGCTCAGGCTAAGGCTGCACCACCTCCACCTCCATCCCACCATCCCTCATGGAGTATTAAGGACCTGGATGTGCCCCAAATGCCAGGGGAGGGCACTGAGAACCCAGAGTGACCTTGTCCAGCAACTTCAACCCAACAGGACTTTGTGCCTGTGACCTTTCTTTGGGGCACACAGTACCCACCCAGACCAGGACCCCTAGAATGCCCAGCACCCCTGGGTGGGCCGTGCAGCAGTTTCAGTTCCCTCTGGAGGCCCAGGATGGACCTGGCCTGTGGTGGGGAGGTCAGCTCCAGTGGCCAACCGGATCCAAAGGAAGACACTGGTTCAAACACAAACCCATCGGATTCTCCCACAGCCTTCCTGCTGTTGGAAGACTGGTACAGGGGTGGTTGCTATGAACAGGGCAGAGCCACCTGATTCCCATGCAAGCTCTGAGTCATGCTGCACTGGCCTCCTCCTGGACATCACATTGCACCAAGCAGGGGAGAAATATGGGGATGCACACACTCCTTCATCATCTCTACACAGACACAGGACCACGCACAGCTCTTGGGAGGAGGAAGATGAGCTGCTCAAAGCCAGGGAGGGACCTGCACAGTGGCCAGCATGGCAGGGACGGTGCTTCAGCCAAGGCAGGGATGGCGGGAGACCTACTTGGGACCCTCAAGGAGGCTGCAGGACTTCCATGTTCTTTCCAGATAACAGGGACGTGTCGATGATGATGAGTGAGATGGATGTACATGCCATCGCAGACACGCTGAAGCTCTACTTCCATGAGCTGCCTGAGCCCCTCTTCACTGACAAGTTCTACCCAACTTCGATGAGGCATCGGTGAGCACTGGAGGCCTTGGCATCATAGGAGGCGTCTCCTCCATGTGCACTGCTGCCATTAGGGGCTGTGGGAAGAGAGGTGTGAGAACCCAAGCTGCGTCCTTTCTGCCATGGTGAGTGTTTTAACCAAGCTCAGAAAGCAGGGGCCACAACTGAGGCCGTTGTGTAAGTCCTCATCTGTCCCAGAGGACTCCTTCTCCTATTCCTCAAGGAGACCAAGAGAGTAAAATGCTCATCACTGCTGTGCTGTGGGGTCCTAAATCTGCTGTCCCCCTTCCAGCAGACCAGGGCTGAACGAGGGTCCCCAGGTGCTCTAGCCACGGGTCCTGGCCCAGGCAAGCACAGGATCAAACCTGGCCTGACCCCGAGTCAACCTGGAGGCTGATGTCTAAGCAGGGCACCGGTGTGTGTGGCCCTGTATCCTCTGCATGACCCTTAGGGCAGGCCTGCCTCCCGGGCCCACGCCCAGAGGACCTGGTCTACCAGCCTGGGGTGCCCCTGTGGAGTCTAGGGTGAAGAGAGGGTCTCTGCTTAGTTTGTGGGGCTGGGGCCACCCACCTCCCACCTCCTTGTGTCCCTCACTTCCCTTTTTCATTTTATGCTGAGCCTCTGCTACTCTGGGCTGCCCTGTGGGTTTCCCACAGGCAGCTCTGCCCATGAGCCACTGCTCTCACGCCACCTCTTGCTGCTGTTCGCCAGGTGCTGCTGACCCCTGTGGGGCAGAGAAAAGGGATTCAGGTGGCTCATACCCTACACTGGCACACTTCACAGGGTCTTTATTGGGGCCCAGTGCTGTGGGAGTGAGGATGATGACAAGCCTGGGCTGTTCAGGAACACGTGTCCCAGGTGCTCCATGTCACCAACTCAGGAGAGGTCTCCAGCTTGTTGTAACGATGAGAAATAACCCACTGCCTTCTGCAGTAGTTTCAGACCCCACTGCAAAGGAGAACTCCATGCTTAACCTGCCCTTGTCCCGGCTGGAGGCAAACCTGCTCACCTTCCTTTTTCTTCTGGACCACCTGAAAAGGTAGCCCAGCTCTCTCATGGCTGCCCAGGCCACAGGGTGCCCCTCTGCTCACATCAGACCCCCAGCACTGAGGACCTTTTCCCTCAACCCATCTACAGTCCCTCACTGCCCCTGGAGACCAGCGCCACTGCCACCCCCACCCCAGCCTCTCCTCTTTGCCCTGCTCCCCCCTCTGCACTGTGGCTTCACAAAGAGCTCAGAGCTTTGGCCATGGCCAGCAGTGTACTTGAATCCCCCAACTCCCTCACTCCCCGACCATGGAGGAGAGCTCCCCACCAGCCCAGAGCTAACCCCTCGTCCTGGGCCGCTGAGACCCACAAGTACCAGGGCTGGAATCAGCTTGCAGCACAGCTATGGTCGAGGTCGCTCCCTCCCAGAGGACTCCAGCATGGCCCAGCCCCTCTGCCTCTTTCCTGGTGGTGGTGTAGAAACACCACCCTCTGCTTTGGTCCTGCACAGGGTGGTAAGAAAAAGGCAGTCAATAAAAGTCCCTGCACAACCTCGCCATGGTCTTTGGCCCACACTGCTCCAGCCTCAGAGAAGGAGAGCAAGCTTTCTGCCGATCCCAGCGGCCCATCACCATGACCAACAGCTGGTCCTTGGAGGTCATGACCTACATGGGGGAAGACAGGCTCCAGCCAGCCCATGCCACCCTGACCTGGCAGAGGTGGCCTCTGCCTGCTACACTCCCTGTCCTGCCCTGCCCAGCTTCCTACTTGCATTGTCTGTGGTGGTGCCTGAGATTTAGAGAGAGAAACTTGCCTAGGTCTGCATGGATGAGAGTGTTGGGGATGCCCAGGCCACCTCTTGGTCCTGCTGGTGCACCTTACTGGGGGCTTAAAACCACCCCAAGTGTTTGGGTGTGGAGGCTCATGCCTGTAGTCCCAGCACTTTGAGAGACCGTGGCAGGATAACTGAACCCAGGTGTTTGAGACCAGTCTGGACAATGCAGCAAACCCCATCTCTAGAAAACAGAAAAGGAAAAATTAGTCAGGCAGCATTGTGGCACACACCTGTAGTCCTAGCTGCTGGGGAGGCTGACATGGGAGGATGGCTTGAGCCTAGCAGTTAGAGGCTGCAGTGATCCATGATGGAGCCACTGTACTCCAGCCTGGGTGACAGAGCAAGTCCCTGTGCACCTCTAATATAACCCCCCCAAGTCAGGCCTTGTCCACATCCACACCCCCACCTCCCGTCTCACTGTAAAGGCTTCATGGCAGCAGCAGAGGACCCAGCATCTGAGCTGGACTTAGGGGCTAAAGATCACCAGCTGTGAGCACCCTCTGAGCCTCTCTCCTCTTTCCCACTCTTTCTGGCAGGTCCAGATGCTGCTGTACTTCCTGCAGCTGGAGGCCATCCCTGCCCCAGACAGTAAGAGACAGAGCATCCTGTTCTCAACCGAAGTCTTAAGGCCCCTGTCCATCTCCAGAAGGCAGATAGATGTCCCTAAAACCTCTGGATAATTGGACCATTGTAGAGTGGGAACCAAACCTTCCTGAGGTGTCCTTGGGCCAGCCCCAAGCATCAGGCCATCTGCCAAGGGACAGTGAGACAAAGCAGAAGGACAGGTGGCCTGGGGACATCCTGGCCAGGTCTGGAAGCCCCAGACTGGCCCTAAACTGTGGTTTTTCACACGGCCACCCGAGGGCACCCCAAGCCAGTGAATCTCAGAGTCTGGGCCAGGTCCTGGGGGACAGAGTGAGGGGAGTGGTTTTAGGAACTTACATGTCTCCTGGATCACTTCTTGAGATGTGCCCTCTTCGGGGAGACAGGAGTGTGACGGGATCCCTTCACTGTTGTATCTTTAATAAATGCTGCTGCTTCATCTTCTGGGGTCATGGCCCTGTCCCTGTGTGGGAGGGGCCTCTTCCATTCCCTGACTAGGAAACCACACTCCATTTAGAAAAGAATTGAGAGGCCCAGTCAGCACTGGGTAACATTTTGACTCCATTCTCAGCTTTCTTTTTTTTCTTCTTTCCAGGACTTTTGTGCAGAAATGGATCTTTTCTTGCTGTGTTTGTCCTTATTGGAAGGCAGCTCCAGGAGGCCTGTGAAATGTTGGGGGACTGGACCCCAGGGGAGGGAGTCCCAGACTGTGCACTTTAGGATTCCTCCTCCAGGGAGAGCAACCTCATCCCTGATCCTGACCGCCCTCCTGGCTCACGCTCTCCTGTTTGGCTTCCACAGGCCAAGACTTCTCTGGCTTCCCTCTGCCCACACTCTCCCTGCCTCAAGTGTCCCCAGCACAGGTGGCTTCATTTTTCTCTCAACTCAGGGAACTTGCTCAACTTCTGTAAAAGTCCCCACTTAGTGGTAGAAGCTTGCTGATGGCATGTTTTAAAACTTTGATTCAAATAACCTTTTAATTCTTGAATATTATAAGTTTCGTACATAGTTCCTAATTTTTTTCCTAAGAGATTCAGATACCTAATAAGATCCTAGAATGGCACCAATTTGTCTTTCTCTAAGTGCCTGGCTCTGCTCTCTCAGGAGTGGGTTCTGAGGTCTCTGGACTACAGGATATTCAAAAGGTCAGGAAGAAGCCTGGCCTAGGGATAAGGGGCAGGGGGACGGCCTCCTTGCTCGAGCAGGCAGAGGCACAGCACCACTTGCCACCCCCTCTGCCAGCACCTGTGTGGGAGCCCAAGCATCCTTTGTAACCCTGCACTACCAGCAAGCTGAAATAAAACAGAATCATGGAGGCCACCACTTATTTTCAACAAATTAACCCATAAACAATTCCCTCACTTTTTCAGAAAAAGGAGGTTGGGGCAAGGAGAGGGGAGAAGGGAGAGGAAACCCAGAGCCAAGTTTCCAGAAAATCCTGCAGGAGAAAAGGATTCAGCTGCTCAGAGGAGGGAAGCAGGATTACACTCAGGAAAGTGTGTGGGGTCCTAGATGACACCAACACCCAGTGCAGTTCTGTCCAGCAACCTCTCCCAAGGTGGGGAAGGTGAGTGTTTCCTGGATGTCCGTGGGCAGATCCTGCTGAGCATGCAGCATGTTGGGGAGTCTGACACTGGAGCCATTCTCCTCCACTCCAGGTAATTCCAGGAAAGGCAAGGCAAGACAAAACAATTCCAGGCAAGGCAATTGGCGAGGTGAGGTGAGGCGAGGCGAGGTGAAGAAAATTTGAGGCAAGGCAATTCCAGGTAAGGCAAGACAAGTTAATTCCAGGGAAGGTAACTCCAGGCAAGGCAAGGCAAGGCAATTCTGGGCAAGGCAATTCCAGGCATTGCAAGGTAAGGCAAGGCAAAAAATTCCAGGCAAGGCAAGGCACGGCAGGGCAGGGCAGGACAGGGCAGGACAGGGCAGGGAAGGGCAGGGCAGGGAAAGGCAAGGCAAGGCAAGGCAAGGCAAGGCAAGGCAAGGCAAGGCAAGGCAAGGCAAGGCCAATCCAGGCAAGTCAATTTCAGGCAAAATAAGGCAATTCCAGGGAAGGCAATTCAAGGCAAGGCAAAGGAATGCAATTTCAGGCAAGGCAACTCCAGGCAAGGCAAGACAAGGCAATTCCAGGCAAGGCAATTCCAGGTGAGGGAAGGCAAAGCAAGGCAATTTGAAGCAAGGCAATTTGAAGCAAGGCAAGGAAAGGCAACTCAAGGCAATTCCATGCAAGGCAAGGCAAGGCAAGGCCCAGCAATTCCAGGAAAGACAAGAAAAGGCAAGGCAAGCAAGGCAATTCCAGGCAAGCAAGGCAAGACAACATAATTCCAGGCAAGGCAATTCCAGGAAGGCAAGGCAGGGCAATTCCAGTAAACATGATTCCAGGCAAGGAAAGGCAAGGCAATTTCAGGCTAGAAAATTCCAGGCAATGCAAGGCAATTCCAGGAAAGGCAAGGCAAGGGAAGGCAAGCAAGGCAATTCCAGGAAAGGCAATTCCAGGCAAGGCAAGGCAAGGCAAAACAATTCCAAGAAAGGCAAGTCAGGGCAAGGCAAGGCAATTCCAGGCAAGGCAAGGCAATTCCAGGCAAGGAAAGACAAGGCAATCTAATGCAAGGCAATTCCAGGAAAGGCAATTCCAGGCAAGGCAAGGCAATGCAGGGTAAGGCAATTCCAGGCAAGGGAAGGCAAGGCAAGGCAATTCCAGCAAGGCAATTCCAGGCAAGGCAAGAAAGGCAAGGAAAGGCAAGGTCATTCCAGGCAAGGCAATTTCAGGCAAGGCAAGGCAATGCAATGCAATTCCAAGCAAGAAAATTCCAGACAAGACAAGGCAAGGCAATTCCAGACAAGGTAATTTCAAACAAGGAAAGGAAAGGCAATTCCAGGCAAGGCAAAACAAGGCAAAAAGGGGCCATTCCAGGCAAGGCAATTTTAGGCAAGGCAAGGCAATGCAATTCCAGGCAAGGCAAGGCAAGACAAGTCAAGGCAATTCCAGACAAGGTAATTCCAGGAAAGGCAAGGCAATTCGCCTGGAATTGCCTTGCCTAAAATTGCCTTGCCTTGCATTGCCTTGTGTTGTCTTGCCTTGCCTTGACTGGAATTGGGTTGCCTGGAATTGCCTTGACCTGCCTTAGCAGGAATTGCCTTGCCTGGAATTGCCTTTCCCTGCCTTTTCTTGCTTTGCCTGGCCTGGAATGCCATTCTGGCAATTGCCTTCCCTGGAATTTCCTTGCCTTTCATTGCCTGGAATTGCCTTGCCTGGAATTGCATTGCCTTGCTTTGCCTTGCCTTGTTTTGCCTGGCATTGCCTGGCCTAGAATTGCATTGTCTTGCCTTACCTTGCCTTGCCTGGAGTTGCCTTGCCTGGAATTGCCTTTCCTTACCCTTCCTGGAATTACCTTGTCTGAAATTACCTTGTCTGGAATTGCCTTGCCTTGTCTTGCCTGGTATTTTCTTGCTTGAAATTGTGTTGCATTGCATTGCCTTGCCTTGCCTGAAATTGCCTTGCCTTGCCTGGAATGACCTTGCCTCTCCTTGCCTTTCTTGCTGGAATTTTTTTTGCCTTGCCTTGCCTTGCATTGCCTAGAATTGCCTTGCTTTGGATAGATTTGCCTTCCCTTGCCTGGAATTGCCTTACCCTGCATTGCCTTGCCTTTCTTGGAATTACCTTGCCTGATATAACCTTTCCCTGCCTTGTCTTGCCTAGTCTGAAATTGCCTTTTCTGCAATTGCCTAGCCTGGAATTGCATTGCCTTGCCTTGACTTGTTTGACCTTGCCTGGAATTGCTTTGACTTGCATTGTGGTGTCTGGAATTGAAATGCCTGGAATTGCCTTGCCTTGCCTTACCTGGAATTGCCTTGTCTGGAATTGCATTGCATTACCTTGCTTCTCCTTGCCTGGAATTGCACTGCCTTGCCTTCCCTGGAATAGCCTTGTCTGGAATTGCCTTCTCTTGCCTTGCCTTGACTGTAATTGCCTTGTTTCAAGTTGCCTTAGCTTGCTTTTCCTCGCCTGGAATTCCCTTGCCTAGAATTTCCTTGCCTTACCTTGCATTGCTTTGCATTGCCTGGAATTGCCTTGCCTTGCCTTAGCGGGAATTGCCTTGCTTGGAATTGCCTTTCCCTGCCTTTTCTTGCCTTGCCTGGCCTGGAATTGCCTTTCAGGCAATTCTCTTGCCTGGAATTGCCTTGCCTGGAATTACCATGCTTTGCCTGGAATTGGCCTGATTTGCCTTGCCTTTTCTAACCTCGAATTACCTTGCCTGGAATTGGCCTGCTTTGCCTTGTTTTGCCTTGCCTGGAACTGCCATGCCTTGCCTTGCCTGAAATTGCCTTGCCTTGCTGGGAATATTCTTGCATTGCCTTGCTTTGTCTAGCCTGGAATTGCCCTGTCTGGAATTGCCTTGCCTTGGCTTGCCTTGCCTTCCTGGAATTGCCGTGCATAGAATTGCCTTGCCTTGCCTTGCCTGCCGGGCCTGGATTTCCCTTGCTTGCAATTGCCTTGCATAGCTTTGCTTGAAATTTACTTGCCTGGAATTGCCTTGCATTTACTTGCCTTGCCTTTCCTTGCCTTGACTTGTCTTGCCTTTCCTGGAATTGCTTTGCCTTGCCTGGAATTGCTTTCCTGGAATTGTCTTGCCTTGCCTTGCCTGGAATTGCCTTGCCTTGCCTTGCCTGGAATTGCCTTTCCCGGAATTGCCTTGCCTTAGATTGCCTCGTCTTGCCTTGCATGGAATTGCCTTGCCTTGTGTTGCCTGGAATTGCCTTTTCTTGTCTTTCCTGGAGTTGCCTTGCCTGTAATTGCATTGCCTTGCCTGCCTTGAATTGCCTTCCCTGGAATTGTCTTGCCTTGCCTGAAATTGACTTGCCTGGATTGGACTTGCCTTGCCTTGTCTTGCCTTGCCTTTAATTTCTTTACCTGGAATTTTTTGCCTTTCCTTGCCTTGCATTGCCTGGAATTGCCTTGCCTGGAATAGCCTTGCCTTGCCTGGAATAGCCTTGCCTTGCCTGGAATTTCCTTGCCTGGAATTGCCTTGCCATGCCTTGCCTGGAATTACCTTCCCTGGAATTACCTTGGCTTGCCTTACCTGCAATTGCCTTGCCTTGAATTTCCTTTCCCTGCCTTGTCTTGCCTGGGATTGCATTGCCTTGCCTGGCATTGCCTTCTCTTGCCTTGCCCTGCCTTGCATTGCCTTGCTTTTCCTTGCCTGGAATTGTCCCGCCTTGACATTCCTGGAATAGCCTTGCCTGGAATTCCCTTGTCTTGCCTTGCCATGACTGAAATTGCCTGGTTTTGAATGGCCTTGCCTTGACTTTCCTCGCCTGAAATTGCCTTGCCTTGCATTGCCTTGCCTTGCATTAAATTGCCTTCCCTGGAATTGCCTTGCCTTACCTGAAATTGCCTTGCCTGGATTGGCCTTGCCTGGTATTTTTTGCCTTTCTTTGCCTTGCATTGCCTGGAATTGCCTTGTCTGGAATAGCCTTGCCTTGCCTTGCCGGGAGTTGACTTGCCTTGCCTTGCCTTGCCTGGAATTGCCTGGCCTAGAATTGCACTGTCTTGCCTTACCTTGCCTTGCCTGAAATTGTCTTGCCTGGAATTGCCTACTTTGCTTTTCCTCGAATTAACTTGTCTGGAATTGCCTTGCCTTGATTTGCCTTGCCTTGTCATGTCTTGCCTTGCCTGGAATTGCCTTGCCTTGCCTTGCCTGAAATCACCTTGCCTAAAATTGTGCTTTTTTGCCTTGCCTTGCTTGAAATTGCCTTTCCTTTCCTTTCTGAAATTACCTTGTCTGGAATTGCCTTGCCTTTTCTTGCCTGGAATTTCCTTGCTTGGAATTGCATTGCATTGCATTGCCTTGCCTTGCCTGAAATTGCCTTGCCTGGAACGACCTTGCCTCTCATTGCCTTTCCTTGCCTTGCCTGGAATTTCCTTCCTGGAATTTGCCTTGCCTGGAATAGCCTTGCCTTGCCATTTGCCTTGCCTTGCGCCTTGCCTTGCCCTGCCTTTTTTGCCTTGCCTTGCCTTGCCTTGCCTGGAATTGCCTGGCCCTGCCTTGCCTGGAATTGCCTTGCCTTGCCTTGCCTGGAATTGCCTTGCCTTGCCTTGCCTGGAATTGCCTTGCCTTGCCTTGCCTGGAATTTCCCTTGCCCTTGCCCTTGCCCTTGCCCTTGCCCTTGCCCTTGGTCTTGATCTTGCCTTGCCTTGCCTTACCTTTTGGATTGTCTTGCCTTGTGTTGCCTGGAATTGCCTTGCCTTGCCTGGAATGGTCTTTGCTGGAATTTCTCTGTCTTGCCCTGCCTGGAATTGCCTTGCCTGGAATTACCTTGTCTTGTCTTGCTTGACTGGAATTTTCTTGCCTTGAATTGCCTTGCCTTGCTGTGCCTTGTCTTGCCTTGCCTGGAATTGCCTTGACTTGCCATGCCTTGGCTTGCTTTGCCTGGAATTTTCTTGCCTTGCGTTGCCTTTGCTTGCATGGAATTGCCTTGAGTTGCCTTTCCTTGCCTTGCCTGGAATATTTTGCCTTGCCTTGCCTTGCATTACCTGGAATTCCTTGCCTGGAATAACCTTGCCTTGTCTGGAGTTACCTTTCCTAGAATTGCCTTGCCTTGCACTCCTCTCTGCTTGTGGACCTGGTGAGGCAGGGAGCAGAAAATACAAAATTTAGCAGGAGGAGGTGGCACTTGCCTTTATACCCAGGTACTGTTGACACTGAGGCAGGAGAATCACTTGAACCCGGGAGGCAGAAGTGCAGTGAGCCAAGTTCGGACCACTGCACTCTAGCCAGAATGACCACTCAACACTCCAGCTCAAATAAATATGAAATAAATAAATGTAAGCCTGTAATTCTATCACTTTGGGAGGCCCCGGTAGGTAGTTCACCTGCAGTCAGGAGTTCGAAATCAGCCTGGCCAATACAGGGAAACCCCGTTTCTACCAAAAATATAAATACTAGCTGGGTGTTGTGGCATGCGCCTGTAGTATCAGCTGCTCAGGAAGCTGAGAAAGGAGAATTACTTAAACCCAGGAGGCAGAGGTTGCAGTAAGCCAAGATCACGCCACTGCACTTCAGCCTGGGTGACAGAGCCAGACTCCATCTCAAAATAAATATATAAATAAAATTAAAAATAAAAAAAATGTAGTAAGATTGCAGTAATGCAGCAGAAGTATGCTAGTCCTATCCAGGTAGTGAAGGCAGACTTCATACACAAATCTCACAAGAACTTTTATGCCCACCCCTGAAAGAAAGCCCTGATTGCCTTCTAAAGAAGCAGTACATGGGCAAATGCATGGGCTGTCCCAAACAGCGCTGGAAAGATCAACAGAAAACAGGGAGTGACATGCTCAGCCCTTGAGGCCAAAATGCCCTTTTTCAGAGCAGCTGCCAGAAGACAGCGAGCAGGATCAGGTTGGAGGTCACCTGTGGGTGAAGGGGAGAACAGTCAGATCTGGGCAGGGGTGTAGGAGACTGGGCATCCTCACTGGAACAGAAGCGAGCTGCTCCGTGATGCTCAGGTGACAGGCAGAGCCTTGCAAATCCAAGTTCTCCTGGTACAGAGAGGCCAGCCAAGGCGAGGACAAAGACAGGCACACACAGGAATGGTTTCCTGGAGGATGGGGCCTAGTTACACCTCTCAAATGGGACCAGATTGGTAGGAAGATCAGCTGCTTTGGGCAACCGAGGTCGCTTCTGGGTGAGCTCCCAAACTAGATGGTGCCAGGGGCTCTGGACCAGGCAGCTGGACTGGACATCTCATGGTCCTGTATTCCAGGAAAAAGCATCTAGCACTTGTCTGGCCAGTTCTCCAAAAGAACCATCCACATGCATCTTTCCATTTTCCCCCCTGTTCAGACTGGGCAGGGCCTGACCAGAAACTCTCCCTTAGGGTTTTCAGTCACTGCCAAAATCGGAGCCCGGCAGTGAGGAGGTGATGTTAACATGTGACTCTGGGCCAGGCGCTGCCTCACGCTGTAGACTCACTGCTTTTGGGAAGCTGAGCTGGGAGAATCACTTGATATCAGCAGTTCAAGACCAACCTGAGGAACATAGATCTCTACAAAAAAATAAAAATAAAAATTACCCAGCTCTGGTGACATGCACCCAGAGTCCCAGCTACTTGGGAGGCTGAGGTGGCTGGAGCTCAGGAGTTCAAAGCTGTAGCTCTGATGTTGCCGCTGCACTCCAGCATGAAAGACAGAGTGAGGCCATGTCCTGAAAAAGGAACAAACACGCTAGGCATAAAAGAAACATACCTGAAAATGGCCGGGCATCTGGCTCACACCTGTAATCCCAGAACTTTGAGAGGCTGAGGTGAGTGGATCACCTGATGTCAGGAATTCAAGAGCAGCCTGGCCAACATGGTGAAACCCCATCTCTACTAAAAGTACAAAAATTAGCCGGGCATGGTGGCGGGCACCTGTAATCCCAGCTACTCAGGACTCTGAGGCAGGAGAATTGCTGGAACCTGGGAGACGGAGGTTGCAGTGAGCTGATATCTTGCCATTGCACTGCAGCCTAGGTGCAAAGAGCAAGACTTCATTTAAAAAAGAAAAAGACAACCAACATACCTGAACATAATGAAAACTGTTTGTGACAAAGCCATGCTTAACCTACTACATAATGAGGAAACATTGAAAGCATTTTCTCTGTAAACAGGAACAACACAAGGATGCCCATTCTCACCACTGCTATTCAACATCACACAATCAGGCAAGAGGAAAAAACAAAAGGCATCCACATTGGAAAAGAGGACATCAAATTATTTTTATCTGATGAAGATATGATCTTGGATTTAGAAACATGTAAAGGTTCCACCAGAAAATCCCTAGAGTTGATCGATAAATAAATCCAGTTATTGCAGGATACAGAATCAATGTACCAAAATCAGCAGCATTTCTATACACCAATAATGGTCTAGTTGGGGAGGAAATTAAGAAGGCAATCCCATTTACAGTAGCAACAAAATGAAAAACGATATGCCACAGAATAAATTTGACAAGGAGTTTGAAGATTTCTACAAGAAAAACTACAAAACACTGATGAAAAACTAATAAGACAGAAAGAAATGGACAATCATCCCATGAATGGAAGAAACTCGTAGCATTAAAATGACCGTACTGCCCAAAGCAGCCTAGAGATTCAATACAACCCCTGCCAAAATACCAGTGTCATCATTCACAGAATTGGAAAAATCATACAATTCATATGGAACCAAAAAAAATCTCAAAGAGTCAAAGCCTTCCTCAGCAAATAGAAAAAAACACTAGAGGCATCCCATTTCACTACAAATTAGAACGACAAAATTTTTGACAAGTGTGTGGTAACTAAAAGAGCATGGTGCTAGCAGGAAAATAGACACATAGATTAATGGGACACATGACAGAGCCCAGAAAGACAGCCACATATTCACAGCCAATTGATCTTTGACACAGCTGACAGAAGCACAAACTGGGGAAAGGACTACAAACATCACCTCCAGATAGAGCTGAGACTTGAACGCAAGATACAAAACTAGAAAATATTAGAAGGAAACCTAGATAAAACTCTTCTGGACCTTGTTTAGCGAAGCTGCCTAACTTTGGCAGGTGTACAGTCTGAGGAGGCAGCATGTGCATCACGGGGAGAGGAAGAAGATGGGTTAGAAAGGGTCCCAGCCTGGCTCAAGGTGGAAGTGGTGGGTAAGAAACCCCTGCAGCTGAGTGTGCTGTGATGCCCTGGGCTGGCTGTCTTGGAGCAGAAGATGAGGCCTGGGCTGCAGCTGAAGAAGCTGGATGGGAATATGGACGAACCCACCTCAAGGTGCAGGTTCCCTGCTGCTGTCCATGAAGGACCACAGGTTTGGGCTGGGTGATGGCTGCAGCAATAGCAGCAAGTTTCCGTAGTGAGGTGGGGCCACTGACCCTCTGTCTGGCTAGGGTGGTGGTGGGAGAGGCAGAAGATGGGTTAGAAAGGGTCCCAGCCAGGCTCCAGGTGGAAGTGGTGGGTAAGGAAACCCCTGCGGCTGAGTGTGCTGTGGTGCCCTGGGCTGGCTGTGTTGGAGCAAAAGATGAGGCCTGGGCTGCAGCTGAAGCAGCTGGACGGGAATATGGATGAACCTGCTTCAAGGTGCGGGTTCCCTGCTGCTGTCCATGAAGGATCACAGGTTTGGGCTGGGTGGTGGCTGCAGCGGTAATGGGAAGTTTCTGTAGTGAGGTGGGACCACTGACCCTCGGTCTGGCCAGGGTGGTGGTGGGAGAGGCAGAGAATGGGTCAGGAAGGCTCCCAGCCAGGTCTGCAGCCCAGGTTGACTTTCTTTTGGTGTGGGGGCTCGAGGTGGAAGTGGTGGGTAAGGAAGCCCCTGCGGCTGAGTGTTCTGTGGTGCCCTGGGCTGGCTGTGTTGGAGCAGACGATGAGGCCTGGGCTGAGTCCCAGGAGTGTGCAGAGGTGGCAGGAAGGGTGTCTGAGGAGGAGAACAGGGGGCCTGCTGACCTGCACTTCCTCCCCAACACAGGAGGTCTAGACGGGGG